TATTAGAGCATAAGCTTTCGTGGACTACAGCCCACTTCTTCGGATGCAAGAAGTGGGCTGTAGTCCACGAAAGCTTATGCTCTAATAAATTTGTTAGTCTCTAAGGTGCCACAAGTACTCCCGTTCTTTTTGCAGATACAGACTAACACAGCTGCTACTCTGAAAGTAATGACAACAGCTCCAGCCCATCTCAACTAACTGCTTCTCTTTTCCCCAAAAAGGATTGTTAGTACCATCTAAGAAGTGTGTTTGCTCATGAGAACTCTACCTAATGGGAAAGGGACCAAGGGATGTTGCTAAAATGAAAGCCTTACATAATACTTTACATGCCAAAGGCTTTAACTGTTTTTCCTTCTTTACTGTGTCTCTAATAAGAGGTAAAGTTTCTGCAGGGCAAATGAAGCTCTCATTGATACCTGTGCAACCCCATGGCCCTCTCAGTCACTCCCCAGAGATGGGAATAGAACCTAGGAGAATCTGAGGCCTCCTGATCCAGCCATTAGATCAGACTGTCTCCCAGAACTGGGAATTGAACCCAGGTGTCCGCAGTCCCTGAGCCATATTCCCTGGGCCATACTCCTCCTAGCCCAGTGGTTCTCAAACTTTTGTACTGGTGACCCCTTTCACATAGCAAGCCTCTGAATGTGACCCCCCCTTATAAATTAAAAACACTTTTTAATATATTGAATACAATTATAAATGCTGGAGGCTAAGCGGGGTTTGGGGTTGAGGCTGACAGCTTACGACCACCCATGTAATAACCTTGCAACCCCCTGTTTGAGAACCCCTGTTCTAACCTATTGCTCCTGGACTTGTTTTAGAAGCCATGAATAAATTACTATTACTCACAATAACAACAGGCATGACTGCATTTGCCACAGCAGAATTTATTGTATTTGGAATAACGCTTCCCTGATTCTATAGACTGATTTAAAATCAACACACACCATTGATTTTATTTTATCAGATTCAAAAAGTGCCCCAGTTGGAGGTGGGGAGAGCAGAATGGCCTGTTTGTTGGCACATCCTCAACCCCCAGCAACCTGACTACATCTGCTCAGTGGTCACCTCACCGAGACAAGTTTCCTGCAACTGCCTGCTTATTGTGGGTGTCACCTACATCACAGCCAGAATCACTCTATTTGGTTTCAGGGAATGTACAGCTGCTGTCTTTGAAGATCTCAATTTGCTGCACCTCCACAGTCCAGGCCACCTGGAGGATTTTCACTTGCTCGATTGGGATACGATGAGAGTACTCATAGAAGGGCTTGTTGTCCACAATCACCTGGTGAGTAAAGGGGAGTGTTAGAAAAGTGGGTGTCGGCGAGACCATTGGATGATGGTTCTTTGGGGGTCAGAGGGTTGGTCAGAGGTTCCTTGACATTTAGGTAGGTGTCGGTCAATGGATGTTTGCAGAGTGGAATCAGTAAATCAGTCACCAGCACGGAGCAGGGTAAATGCAGGGCCAGGGGTATGCTTCCCGCCGTACTTAACCACTCAAGCTATTGCTCACTCTGGTTAGCAGGAAATGCAATAGAAGCAGGGACCAGGTGTTCATACCACCCCACCTACAGAACCAGCAGGAACTGGGGTCTGGGGGCACGAATGGAAGGTGGCCAAGAGCCTGCCTGCTCCCCTCAACCAGAAAATGGATTATGTGGAAGGAGGAGAACCTGTGTTAATGCCGGTTGCACCCACCCAAAACATTCTCAAAAGAAACAGGTAGTTTCCATTTTAAAACTGATGCTTTCCCTGGTCTGGGTAGTGCAACAACCTTCCTTGTCCCCCAAAGCCTCGATTAGAGACAGGCCCAACTACAGCTGCAGCTCCCAGCTCGGCCCTGTTCCTGGCTCGCCTTTCCCTCCCCACCTGGCCTCACTTTCCCCTCTTCCTCCTGGTCCAACTCAGTAAACTCTGAGATAGATTGTTAAAGAAAAATACCCCACTGTATTCAACCCCTCACCCTCGTCTCCAAGCTCCCCAAGTGCTTTCAGCCCTGCAGTCTCCTATCCCATCCCATCACCATCCTTCCTCCAATTTCCCTCCCCCAGTCCAAATGGGGAATTGTCTCCAGTCCCCAACGTAGAGGCTCTTCCCTGCTTACATCCCTTACCTTGTAGCCGTTTTCAGTAATGACAAACTGCAGCAGGAAGCTCGTCCCTTTGCGGAAAGGGCTAGTAGAGCTCTCTTCTACGTGGCCCCACTCTTTGTTCAGCAAGCTGTTGAAAATGACTCTGTCCCTGCCCTCTTCGAAGCGGGGGTTAAAGTGAAAGGCGATTTCATTCTTTCTGTCCCCACCACAGAGAAAGTTCACATCAAACCTGGACAGGAGGAATAGGAAAGTAATGACCAAGTGGCCTGTGAGGCTTTTGGGAAGAGCAGCTCCTTCCCCCCTCCTGCCCCCATCCTTAATATAACCTGGGGAATGGATTAGACCGTGGTGTGTCTAACCTCATGCTGGATTTCTGTGTTTCCCCATATGGCTGGCCGCTGAGCCACTGTCTCGTGTTCCAATGGGGCCACACGGCACCAGAGACCAAGAAGCAGTTCCCACCAGGTTCTGGTGTCAGGGAAATAACGTCCTCCTTTGAACATCTACTGGGTGGCTTATTTTCAGTCTGCAATGGTGCATCACCAGTGAGACCAGCAGGAGGTGCTGAAGTGGCAGAAATGCTGATTTTAAAGTGGGTGGGGATTATAATTACTATTAATCATGTTTATTATGGCAATATCTAGGGGCCAAGTAGTTGGTAGACCTGGGTTCATTTCCCTGCTCTGCCGCAGACTTCATGTGTCCTTGGGCCTGTCACTTAGCCTGTCTGTGCCGTAGTCTCTCCATGTCACAGTTTCAGGGTAGCAGCACCTGTATTCTCTATCCACAGTCCCTCGAGGGCACCCACTTAAAGGTTTCTGGCTCCCAGCTGTCACCTCTCTTGTGCAGAGACCTGCATGTGTCTCCCTCCTGACAGTGGTTTTTAGGCTGCACAGCTCCCTGGATTTACACTCTGATATTCCCAGCAAGCCAGACTGCCTAAGCAGCCGAGTGTCCGTGCTTTGCTGTCTCCCCAGAGCCTATGCTCAGTGTATTGCCTGCCGCTATCAGTTACCTCACAGCTTCTTCTAAGCAAGCACATGTATTCTTCAGGGAAAAGCTTTACAGAGAAAACACATTAAAAACAATAAACATTCCTACATGCATGCTGACAGCTCACCAGAGGTCACCATCAGTCTTGTGGGGCCCTAACATGTCAAGCCCTTCCAAAGCTTACGCAAGGGTCCCCCCAACCCCTCAGACAGAAAGTCCTGTCCATTTGCTGGCTCAGAAGGAAGGCCCCAGTTAGTTTAAACTCAGGCACTTTGTCCCAAAGGCCTTTCTTTGTCTGTTGCTCTCCGGAGAATCTACTTTGAACTAGTATATGTGAGTCTCCACAGGAATTCGTACCTTTTGGAGGGGAGGGGGGTTTGCAGCCTGGCTGATTTGCCTTAATCACCACCTCGTTTTTAGTTCCCGAAGGAGCTGTACATAATTATACATAAGCCATTCACTTAAAATAAGCAACCCCAAACAT